GTCAAGGGAAAAACAAGACTGAATAAGCTGTGCATTTCGTTAAAGTACATCTAGAGAGTATATCAGTGTAAAATTAAGCATGCCTTTCAGAGTAGACACAGAAATTGGTTTTTACAGTTTCCGTGTCTCCACAGAAAGCATACACAATATGTGACCCTCCAAGAAGAACACAGCCCACTAGGCGAAGGCTGTAGTTTGCCAGCTTTCTTCCTGCCCACCCCCACAACAGTGAGGCCAGGCTCTAAGCAGACTGGACCAAAAAGAAGCTTATTGAATCTGCTTGTGCATCAGTGAGCTAGTTCAGCTTGGCAGGTCACGGTTGCACAGGTCTACCCCACAGTGAGGTTGCAAGCATCTAATTCCATCTCACCCCCAAATATGCCATATTTTTGTTTGAGGGAGGTAATGAATTATATTAGGAAATCACCCCAGGTGTTCTGTTTCCATTAATGTGAACACACACTTAAAAACAAGTCAATTTGGGGAAAACACTGGAATGTTTGCCAATCTCATTGCCCTTTTGGAATAGCTCAGTTGGTAGAGCAAGGGATTCTTAATCTTAGGGTCGTGGGTTCGAACCCTACCTTGGGCAAAAGATTCCTGCATTGCTGGGGGTTGGACTAGAGGACCCCTGTGGTCCCTTCCAGCTCTCCAGTTCTGTGAAATGCTACATATATGCTTTAGTGATGATGATCTGGTCCAACTCCCTCTCCATTTTGTGTGTGGACCCTATTTCTGCATTTTCTTAAGATACAACCAGTTGCCTTGGCATCAGACAGATCACTGAGTAAGAGAGTTCTTAAACATCCTAAAAAAAATTCCTTCCAGCAGCACCTTAGAGACCAACTAAGTTTGTCATTGGTATGAGCTTTCATGTGCATGCACACTTCTTCAGATACTGAAGAAGTATCTCTAAGGTGCTACTGGAAGGATTTTTTTTATTTTGTTTTGACTACGACAGACCAACACGGCTACCTACCTGTAACTTAAACATCCTGTCTCTCTCTCTTATTTTTATTTTTTCAGTAAGATTACTTGGCAGTGTCCCTCTACAGTCTGTGTTTCTGGCAATTTGCAATGCACCAGTTTCTTTCCCTCTTTCAAAAGAATCTCTTCTAGACAAAACGTATCCCATAAATTCTCTGCACCAGAGAGGACTGTTGTTGTTTTTCTTTTTATCATTCCCTTGAGGGGGGGAAGTCAGTTTAAGAGTCGATGACACAAACCCATATTTTTTTTTTAAGTTAATGACAGAAATGTGCTGACAATAAAATGGTAATTCTGTTTCCCCACCCCTCCTTAATAAATGTGCCATTAAGCACTGAAGGGCGGGTTGTGCATTCACACCCAAGAAACGTCAGATTTTACTGTAACTGCTGCATTTTTACAACAGGGCAAGATCACACTGCAACTCGATCATTACAGACCTTCCTGGGTGGTTTTAGGGTGAGACAACCAGAGCAATTTCTACCCAATTTCTTGGGCTCACATCAGCTTCGCTTTGTATTTGGCAAAGCCCAGATAAAGAGAATTGGACCTTGGACCTTTTGCACACAAAGCATGTGTGTGACGGCTGATCTACAGCCCTTTCAAACTTACAAGTCTTCCTAGGTGTCCCTGATAATGGGCTTATGCAAGCAGCCACCCTGTGCAGAATTTCACAGGTCTTAGGCAGAGTAACTTTTACTAGCTTGAAAATTAAGGAATGTGGGATGAGTCACACAGTTCTCCCTCCACCCACCCTAATTGCACAAGCCATCTCTGCCACTCTCAAATTAAATGGTGGTTTGAAAGCTCTCTTTCAAGGAGATGGAGATTTCTTTCCTCTGAAAATATTTTGTGCCTGGAGCTCCTGGTCGCAGATATAATAAGACAAGGATCTGGTGACATGTGTCACCAACACTTTGGAACCAGAGGGGAAGAAAGAAGGTGCCACTGTGAAGCCGAAATACGCCCAGTCATTGGAATATAGAAATATTTGCCAGAAAGAGGGCCTGAATGTGTCATAACAAAAAGAAAGATGAACTGCTGATGACCTTCAGGGGTTGTTTACAACATGTGCAGGACCTTAAGAACATCACACTCCAGTTCCTTTGCTAGGCTTGGAATAGACTGAATTAACTATGCTTCTGGAATGACAAGGGGAAATGCAGGAGAAAAACTTCTCAGTCTCATAATTTTAGAACTCAATGAAGCTGAATGTTGGAAGATTCAGGACAGACAAAGGGAGGTACTCCTTCACACACAACACAGTTAAACTTCAGAATTAGCTCCCAGAAGGTGTAACAAAACCACCAACTTTAAAGAAGGATAGACAAATTCATAGAAGACAAGGCTGCCAGTGGTTACCAGTCATTGTGGCTATGATTTACATCCATTCTTGGAAGCAGTACAGTGGTACCTTGGTTTACAAACTTAATCCGTTCCTGAAGTCCAACCAAATCCATTCTTAAACCGAGGTGCACTTTCCCTAATGAGGCCTCCCGCTGCCGGTGCCCATCCAGCATTCAGCTTCCGTTTGTAGACTGAGGTAAAGTTCGCAAACCGGAACACTACTTCTGGTTTTGCATAGTCCGTTCCTGAAGTTAAACCAAATCCATTCTTAAACCGAGGTGCGCTTTCCCTAATGAGGCCTCCCGCTGCCGGTGCCCATCCAGCATTCAGCTTCCGTTTGTAGACTGAGGTAAAGTTCGCAAACCGGAACACTACTTCTGGTTTTGCATAGTTCATAAACAGGACTGTTCGTAAACCAAGGTACCACTGTATGCCTCTGAATACCAGTTTCAGGGAGTCACTAATGAAGAGACAGCTGTTGCACTCAAGTCCTACACACACGCTTCCCATAGGCATCTGGCTGGTTACTATGACAACAGGATGCTGGAACAGATGGGCCTTTGGCCTAATCCAGAAGGCCTCTTCTTTGGTACTTAAGGGTTTTACAGTGCACCAGGGCTAGAATGTTCTTTTCATTTTCTCATAGCCTTCAGCCTCGTAACTCTATATGCATATTTCTTGAATGAGACTAGAACATTTCTTCCTGGTATCAGTATATGTTCAGGGATGCAATATGTAGTGGAACAGTCCAGTAACAGATTTACTTCTTCACCTGCTGTTTGTGAGAAGTAGGCCTTAATGTGGAATCGTATTACTATGCTAGAACCCGAGAAATTACCATGTACCTCTTTCCTGTCATAATTGCATTGTTCTTGTTTTATCAGACTGAATGTACCAAAATATTTATGAGAAAGTGTATTTGGCCCATTTGCTAATATACCACTTAATACCTTCTGCAGTCTGTCTAAATCCTGGCAGTGCCTGGAGAAAGCCATTTTGACAGGTTGGAACTGAAGCAGATTATACCAAAGGGAGTGAACTATTTACTCACAAACCTTTCAGCATATTCCATTGGAGTTCCAGTCAGCATAAGCAATGTGATTGAGAAATGTGCTCTGCAATGAACAGCTACCACCAGAAGGGAGGGAAAAGAAAGGGCAAGACAATTGTCCACAATTGCACTTCTATGGCACCACCTTTAGTCATAGATTTTGCATGCACAGCATAGCATGATCTACCTAGGGGAGTAAATAAAACCAGCATCCAAAGTTTGGCTCCAAATCCTTGCCTGAGATAACTTCTGCGAAGTCAGTGGAGGTGCTATTTAGGCAACAATACACAATACAAAGATGCTGTGTGAGACAAGGTGAGATAGGCTGGGCAAGCAGTATTTGTGAAAAGGAACAGCAACAAGCTGAACCGTGTTGGAAAAGTGGCCTCTATGCTCAGGCTTTGGCCTGTGATGTCATATTGATGATCATGAAGCTCTTGTAGGTCTGTCTGGTCTTCCTTCACTTTTTTCCTTTGCCTGGTACTCAGTAGTGGCACAAAAGCTGAAGGCCAGCCTTTTATCTCATAGGTGGCTGATTATTTCTCACAAAGGGCCATCTGTAGGCCTAAATCCTGATAACAGTCACATTGGTTTTGCTAAGACACTGAACCAAAAGCTTAGGATGACATTGTACAAATGTGCTCTTATGCTTGGTGCAAGGGGAAGTAGAGTTCATAGCAGAGCTGAATCATAAGCACATACTTTTGAGGCTTAAAACATCCTTCAGACACACTCTTCTGTGCCCCTCGATATGGAATGAAACACACATTTTTAATCTGATGGAAGCAAATGGGTGTTTTTGCACTGCCAAGGACTACATAGTTGACAATGTGTCTTGAAACCTAATAGGTTGGGAGGAGGAGAGAATAACCATTTTAAAATGAGTCAACAATATAAGCATTTTGAGCCAATCATTTCCTGTGGGTTCCTGAATGCTGAAAAACATCTGCTACAAATACATTACATTTTTTCCCTTCAAATGGCTTTTGACCACCGGAGTGACTACTCTACCTCAGAGAAGATAACAATTTTAAATACAAAAATATATAATATATCGTGACATGCAGGTTACAGTTATGCTACTAAAACATTGGTTTTCATACTGTGGTTGAGGGAGCTGCAATGGTCAGGGATTCCATGGCAGATGAGCAGGAATCCATGGTAAAAGCTGATGTGGAAAGGGTTCCATGGTCTGAAGGCAAGCAAGTTTTTCTTTCAAGTCTTCATACCCATCCTGGGCAGTATAATTCTTACTTAACAAAGATTCTACACAACACTTTCTGGAATGATACAGACTTGTATTGTGGTGGAGAGAAGGGGAGTTTGATCCTCAGAGCAGGCACTGAAAATGCCCCTCTGCTGTTTGACCAACGCCTTTGTAATGGAAAACAGAAGGAGAAGGTCTGGTGTAAACAATTGCAATGGAAATCAAGTAGGAGAAAATAAACAGCTTCACAGAAGCCAGTGAGACTTCTAATACAAGTACATACCGCAGACTTATGAGATCTTCCTGTAATCTGTATATTCCTATGAAGTATGTTTTTAAGCACTATAGGTCAATGCTTGACTGTGTGTGATTGGAGTGCATGTTCAAACCAAATTCTATAAAACGGCCATGAAGTATGCAGAGGTCACATTGTTTCATGCCTTATGAATCTAAACCAGCTCCTTAAATTGTGCCGATCTGCTCAGCAACAGGCAGCCAGTGGAGACTTGGAATATTGTTCTTCTCTGCTCCAAGTGACCCCTCCACCCACCATGAGGTGGGGTCACTGAATTCCACACCAGCTGCAGCTGTTGAATAGTCTTCAAAGGCAACCACACAGAGTTCACAGCACACAGGCATTAAGGAAGATTGTTAGGTTTGATTCTCGTTCTCATTTAAAGTTTTGTCTTTTTTGGCAGGGCACTGTGAGTTTGATAATATTTTTCAAACTGCTCTTCTCTATTGAGAGGAGGCTCTTTTAAAACAATAAAAGATTGAGCCACAGCTATTATTTTGAAGAAGGAGAAAATATGTAGATTTTTTAAAAAATATGGTGGAACGTTGCTATCCTATCTGTGCATCTGAAAATTCTCCAGGGAAAGAATGCTTCTTAAGAAAGAAAGAAAAAAAGATGACTGCCTTTTAATAAAAGAAATCTAAAACTGGCTATTGTCACTGCTCTAATATTTACACAGGCTGCTCTGGCAAGTTTTAAAAACTGGGCTCCACTATAAAACCTAAAAATGTCCTGGACACAAAGTTGTTTACATATAATATGAGAAGATATAAAGTTACAGGGCTGGGGATTGGAAGAGATTCTAAAACCATCCTCCGTGTGCTGACGTCACATGGAAACCAGCTGTTGGGATGATGCTAAACGGAACCGTTCTTCAGTTTGCAAAAAGTTGCAAAGTTGATCTAATAGAGTTCCAAGAGCTCTCCTGGTTGAGAAGCTGATTATTTTTCCTTTCTTTGAACGATTTCAGTATTTTCAGAACTGGAAGACTCTCACTGCTTTCACTACTACTTCACATTTGGACTGAAATACTTCTGAAAGGATTTTTTCCTCTATAAAAGGTAAGGTTTTTCTCCTACTTTAAACCTCATTGTTTATACTCATTTTTAGACTATGAGAATTTAAAAAAACATAAAATGAGAAGGGGCTATAGCATTGTGTCCAACGGCTATCTTACTAAGAAATGGATTATTTAAGGAAAGGCTGGGTGCACTTTTTGATAGAGGGAGTGTTTTTTTATTTAATCATTTGGCTCTTGATTTTCACTGCTTGAGTCTTGGATGCGTGTGTTCAAGTGCACAGTAGCTGGCTGCAGTTGTGATCAAAAGTAACTGTTTTGTAGCATGTACCTAACTATCTGGCACAGCTGAATGGCTGCGTTGCTGATAAATCAAAAGACGGCTCTCCCAGAGAGCTGACTTGTGCAACCACTTTTGTTCATCTCCGTTAAAACATAACACCTCCTTGGCTGATGTCACCATCTGTTATTTTTAGCTGCTGCCGTCCGTGCCCCAGAAGGGTATTTATTTCAAACTATTTGGACTTGTATGTGTGTTTGTATGCAGAGAGAGTGGGATAGAAGGAGAGTATAATGCTATACGGTTTTGCTTTCTTTTTTTAAAAAAGAAAAACTTGTTTGCTTGACATAGGAAACAACCAGTGGTGCAGATGTCATTGATTGTTGGCATACAGTTTACTGCTGTATTGAGCTACTGACCTTGTCTAGGACATGTCGAAAAGGATGGACGCCCTGCTGTTCCCCAAGGGAAACAAAAGCTGTGTCACACACTGCATGTTAGCTATTTCTTTTAAAAGGAAAAGGCTTCCTATTTACATGGAGAATGAGCTTTGATGTAAATTATCTGCCATGATTCTTTAACCAAGCCTTTATTTTTATTTTTCCCTGACCATATGGGTACAAATAATACAGGAAAGGGAAATTTAATTCTGCCCTCCCAGGGAAGAAAGGATCATCTGAGGAGAATAAGAGATGGAGATAAGGGACAGTCCCCTAAGGAATTTATCCACCATAATACCAGCTTGAGAATTTGGTAGAAAATTAAACAGTGACCCAGTTTTCCACATGTAAATGTCATGCTTGAGTGTCAGCATCAATGGGAGCAATTAGCAAGAAAATGTGGCAGATCCATAAACAGCAATGGGAGCAAATGTAGAGAACATGAATGAAAGGGGAGAATATATATAAAAGGGGGGCAGTATCCAGCATTGTGTGAGGAGGCCTCCCCTTACTCTCCACCCTCCTGCAGTTCCCCAACCCTCCGAAACAGTTTGGAGGGGGGTGCATATGAGGCTGCAGGGGGAGGGAGAGGAAGGAGGAGTTTTGTTGTGCAAGTGGAAGTCTGTTCTGCTAGCAGATGGGCACAGTTGGATATCACCCAAGATGTTGCTTGGTTGGGCCATCTGGATGTGTTTCACTAAGTTGCCCTTCAAGGACAATGACCACTTTGCTCAAGCCTTCTAGTACAGTGGTACCTCAGGTTAAGTACTTAATTCGTTCCAGAGGTCCATTCTTAACCTGAAATTGTTCTTAACCTGAAGCACCACTTTAGCTAATGGGGCCTCCTGCTGCCGCTTCACCACCGGAGCACGATTTCTGTTCTCATCCTGAAGCAAAGTTCTTAACCCAAGGTAATATTTCTGGGTTAGTGGAGTCTGTAACCTGAAGCGTATGTAACCAGAAGTGTATGTAACCCAAGGTACCACTGTACTATAACGTGATTAATTTGCAAAAAAATGCTTCACACCTTTTATTGCTGTTACCTTCACAGTAACCCTGCAAGTAGGGTAACTTTTGTTCCCGTTTTACAGAGGAGAAGCTGAAGGTCACAAAGTGTCTTGCCACGGAATGAATCTCAACTAGGAGAGGGACTTGGGTCCAGGTTTTCTGAGTCCAAGGCAATTCTCTAACAACGGGTCCATCTGACATGTGCTAATCTGCTGAGACTGCTTGGTGTAAAGTGGGACCTGTCATAGGGCAAAAGTTTGAGTTACGTGACCTCCAGCTTTTTCCAACCATCCCATTCTATGTTACATGTAATGCAATGACTCCCGTGGTGCTCTTCCAGAACTTGATTGCATTTGGATGGTCTCCAGTGTGGTTTCAGAAATGTAGTTTGGTGGGAAACAGACTGTACACTGCAAGGATTGCTTTAAGCAACCAAGTAATAATTGCAGAAAAGCTTTGTGCTCCTTTGTTTTACATCTACTGAGCTTCGCTGCAAAAGCATGCATTGCAAGAGCGCAATCAATACACATTAAGGTGAAATGCATTATATTTGTGCTTGTCCTGTAATGCATTTATATCTTAATGCTTCTCAAGATCATAGCTATTTTACATTGTCTTATTTTACTGCTTTGCACGGGAACCTGCAGATTGACCAGTCTTCATACAGTTGAAGTCAAAGTAATAAAAGTCTTGTAATTCATCTGAATAAGTCTGCTCAGAGGTAACTGTAGCACCCCTCCAAATACTGTGCAGCTTCATTTTGTTAGAAAATCAAACCTAGTGGTTTTACATTATTGTAAACTTTTAAAAATATTGAAATGGCTGCACAAGCTCTATTTCAAATGACATTTAGACTGCAAACGAGCTTTCAGGGCAGTGGAAACTTTATGTAAGAATTTGTTTTTGAGCAACAGTCATTTCAGCCCCTGGCAGTCAGCTAGAACTTTGGCCTAAGAAATCGTGGAAGCTTTATCTGCTGACTGTTTCCTAGTTGAAGCCAAGACCTTTGCTTAAACAATCAGTCCCTCTTGGCCGCTCCTCATTTTTTTATTAAGAATATTGTGTTGTATTTGAACAGCTCAGTTACCAGCAGTGACCCTCATTTGTAATAAAGCTGCCCTGATTTTTTTTCCTGGCAGGTATAAACACAAAAGAATTTACTGGATCCAGAGTCAGCTTTGGAAAGTGAAGCAAAGAGAGGAGAAAAGAGCGAGCCCTTTGGAGCTTCAGAGTCCTGTGAAATGTTTGGGTGAGATCCAGAAAAAGAAGGGCTTAAATGTTTCATCACGCAGGTGAGAGACACTCAGTAGCATACATATGATTTTGAAGAGGAACGATAAGGAATTTGTCATCCCTTCTCACGCTGCAAATACATACTTGTCTATGGTTACTTTCCTTCCCCAAGAAATATATTATTTATTTGTTTCATTTATAGATCACTCATCATGTTGACGTAACCCCTGGGTGGTTTCCAATTTATGAAACTAAGATGCAGGCAGCAAAACAATCAAAAATATACTTATTTGTCACTGAGGTATCAAGCCTGCGTCTAGGTTGTGTTGCTTAGGAATATAAGGAGAAAACAAGGGTCATTTAGTCCAACCCCCTGCAATGCAGAAATCTCAGGAGGGCAAAGGAGGCCATCGCCCATTCCTTGGGAATTGACAGATGTTTCCTTCTGGTAGCTCTAGATATTGTTTGTGGCTTCCAAGCAAGACTGCTTTCCATAGTCTTGAGGGGGGTGAGAGAATTCCCCTAAGCAACTTCCTTGACTTCTTGGCATGTACAGTGAAGGACACAAGGGGTGGGGTGAAAGGGGTGCTCCCTAAGCCCCAAACCCCTTTGTGAAAAGAACTCGATCTCATCTATGATTTGCACACATATAGAGTCTGCTCAGAAGGACTACAGAATGCGCATAGGCCATGCAGGGTCAGTGTGTGTCATCCCAACCCTATAAATCTGTTGTACAAACAAATCGTTCAAAAAAATGTAGGGAGGAACTCAGTGCGGCACTGTGGCAATTGTTCTGTCAGTGCAAGCATTTTAGCTCGCCAGGCAAAACATTTTCCCTGTGCGTTGTTCTGGGGACCCCCCCCCCCAGCCAATTGGGGGGGCACAGGAGAAGGAGAAAGGGAGAAGCACTGTTGTGCTAGCACAAATTATTGTGTGGGACTCTGTTAGTGGACTTTGTTAATTGAATCCAGCTTATATAATAGTTTTTATATTTGGGTTGGGACATCAGAAATATACAGTAGCATTTTTTTTAGCCCCCATAAGGAAGGCCTAAAATTTTATTATGGTCATCCTTTCTCCAGCCTTGACAATGTTAGTTTGAATTCAGAAAATAAAATCATAGTATGATTCTAAGCATGAAGAGCATCCTTATTGTGGGATGGAGATAGGTAGACTACAGGGAAGCAGTAGACCACTGACCAATAATCACCTGGTGACTGTTGGTTGCTGGGATATTGGTCTGATCCTGCAAGCTATCTCCTATATTCTTAAGCAGTAATGGATACTCAAAAACACTTAAGACGGATGAGCTCTGCACAGTTAATATACGTGGTTGACTGTGGGGATTCTTGTGAAGCAAAAGTATAGATTCTGCAAGACTGAAGTCAACCCACCATTATTGTATAGATCGCCCCTCCGTGTGTCTGTGTGTGTGTATTTGTTTATTGGGAAGAGCAGGTGGAGAGATTGACTGCATCAGTTCCAAATCATCTTCATTAGCAAACTTACTATCTTTAGATTCTTGGCTGCCTTGTCAACAGAGTGTGAGATAGTAGGACATGGACTGTGTCTTGGTTATTCCAGGCCTAGCAAGGTTGGAGGGTTTTGGTTTCCACTGCCAGGCACCAGGGAGAACAGAGGTTGCTCAGCATTACCTTGCAAGACTGAGTATCACAATCCTGGACAGCTGCTCACGTTTGAATGTGTATTTTTTTATTTTAATGAACACTCTCTCTTTCTTAATTTAGACAAATAGAGGATCCTTTGGTGATCATGCCACACATCTCTTTTTGCATAGGTTTTAAAAATATTTGTATTTTGTAAAAATATGTTTAAAATTAAAGACAAAGAAACTACTTTTCCAAATACAACATTGCAAATGCAAAAATGTAATACTTAAATAAGTCAATCAACTGTGCTTGTGTTCTGATAGACCAAATGCTTAATTTTATGACATTGCTAATGTATAGACATGTCTGGATTATTTTTCATCCAACATAATGTATGTTTTTCATAAAGTTAATCAGAGGCATTCATAAAGTTAATCAGAGCTTTAGTGCTGAACCATGTCTTAATAATAGTAAGTAGTTTACCCATCATAACATTCCATATCTTTCTGCACCATGCTTCTACGATAAGCATTTTTGCACCTGCTAAGAAATTACTTACCAAGATCCTGTGCCTGCTTTTAATTAAATTGTGCAAATCATGTAAATGCTCTGCCTGGCGAATATAGATTATGCAGCTCCTGTTTCATCTTTGAAACATCTTCCGAGAACCTTGTACGGTTTTGCAAAACCATTAGAAATATTTAAAAAATCAACATGTTCAGCATTGCATTTTTAGTAGTCTTGTGAATATAAAATACCACTGGAGTGAAATAAAAATAAAAAGGCAGTTCCTGCATATGTTGAGATTACAGGAGCTGTCATGCATTTGCTCTTTCTCCACAGATTTTGAATTTCCCCCATTTCCATTTTGCCAGAGATTAAGAGCAGAATCCAAACTCACACCCACCCTTCCTGCCAGCTGCCATGCTGGATGATCAAGCCCAATTCTTGCAGCAGTCCAATTCCATCATGTGATGACAGTGAGATTGGCTTGGAATCTAGTGGATCCCAGGCCAGCTGAGTCCTCCCCTTGGAAGGCCCTGTTTCAGAGCTTTCTCTGGTCTGCACTAGTGAAAAATCCACCTATGTATTGCTTGTTCAGCAGGAGGCCAGCTCAGGCAGGACAACTGAGCAGATTGCCCTGTTGTTGTATTGTATGTATTTTAAAGCAAGAGGTATAGAATTATACTCTGCAACCAACCTTTAATGCAGATTGTTTGATTTCCCTGTTTCTTTGCTCTTCTTCTTTGCGCCTGACCCAAAAGCTGGAGCCAGAGGCAAGTAAGGCTTGCCGTTCCGTAACTCCCACACATTCCAGGAAAGTCTTAGAAGAAAAAAGAGGTGCACAGACATTTCTCTGTTTGGCCACTGCAGCTATGGACCTACGGACACAACTGGAGAGCACAACTGAGAGGAACTGGAATAAAGAGAAGATGGAGCTTCTGGAGCGCTTTGACAATGAAAGAAAAGAGTGGGAATGCCAGTGGAAGGTCATGCAGAAGAAAATAGAAGAGGTATTTTGGGGTTCTTTTCCATGTCAGCAACTAACATGATGATACTGTCTTAAGCAAAGTCCCAAAACTTAAAAAGATGATTTCACCAAAGAATCCATAGGGTTGGAATGAATCAGCCATTGTGTCTATGCCCCTGTTCAGAAGCAGGGGTGGTGGTGGGGAGTTCTTCAGGCACCATTTATTGTATAAACATTGAAGCGTGATGCCTTTGGGGACATTGCTGTAGAAAGCATGCTAATGCTAACATGATATGGATGCCAGAAAGGGTGTTGGAAGAATTTGCACTGTGCTTTTAAAACTAAAGGGGTCATGAGCATACCCTTGTATTATGGAACATCAATCCATGCAAAAAAAGGTGCCATGTAGCAAGCTGCGGCCCTGCAAGTGCTGTTGGACTACAATTTCCATCATGCCTGGTCAAGTCCAACACACTCTGGGGTGCCACCCACTGCCCACCCCAAATCTAGGTGTGCCTTTTTGGACATTGCTTTCTGAGATTAATGTTGAGCAATCTTGTTTATTAGCATGTAAAGGAATGTCTTGAATTTGGAATCCAGGGACACGAGAGCAGGACACATTTATTCCGGCTCAGCCCTGCTATATTTATTGATGGCATTCAGTAGCAAGAGAGTACAATAAACAACATACCGCAGGCTAGACACAAACTGTATTTATACACCCTTCACTCATTCGTTCTCTGCCAGTCTTCGCACAGTTCTAACCCATGGGACGAGTTTAGTATAATTACCGCTGATGCTCCCTTGAGTTGCCATTTTAGCAGTGTATTTTGTTTACCAGCACATGGACTTTATTCCTGCTGGTGATTCTTTATCTGCTTTGTTGGTTTTCCACATTCACACTATGTGTCTGCATTGATTCATCTGCCTGGCGGTTTGCAGCTGAGGTGGCTGATACACCCCACTGGATCTCTGCCATTTTGTGCCTTCAGAGTGAAGTCTAGCTGTTTAACAAGCTCCCTTAGCCGTATTCCTTGTAATGATGATGCCACTGCTTTGCCCATCAGATCTGTCGTTTGTCCATGGAAGAGCATCACCATTCCATATGATAGTTGTTGCTAAATCTGTAAACTGATTTGAGATGAAAAGGTAGAATTTGAAGAGGGAGGTGAAATAGATATCTGTCAGCCAGTGCAGAGGTGAAATGCAGAAGAGCCATCAGTTGTTATATATGTCTGTTCCCCTTGGAAAGGAAGCCTAACAGGCTGTTGTGCAATCTGTGCCTATGGTGGTAGAGGTCACAGCTGAACTCATGCTTCCCATAGCAATTGGTCAGGAATCCTTAGGGATACTGCTTCCAAGTCTGAGAACGAATGGAAGAGCAGCTAGAACCATCTATTATTATATTATTTATTAAATTTATATACCACCTTTCATCCAAGGATCACAGGTCAGTTTACAATATAAAAACACAAAACTACATAACATAGTAACAAACTAAAACAGTAACCACACACACAGTTGAGTGCTGTGCTCACAGTGGATAACCTGGTGCCGATTGGAAGCCCACAAATAGGATCTGAGTGGCTCTTCTGCTCTGCTTCTCCTATCATATGCCTTCTCTACATAGTCTTGTACCAATTATCATGTCCTATTGTGGTGCACCATGTATTTGGTTTGGTTTTGATGTCCAAGAGTTGGCCCAGCTGAGATGCTTCATTTGAGAGTTAGTGTGGTACAATGGGAATCTTTTCAGACCTTGTTCCAATATGCAACAGCCACATACTCATGCGCTTTATGTTTGAAACCGACACCATTTTTGGAAATTGCAGTACTTCCTTGTGAAAAGAAATGATGCTGTAGCAAAAAAAGTTCCAGATATTCTAGCCCACCGAGGAATCCAGACTTTGGAGTCTGATGGCATAAGCTCAACATGAAAACAGATATCATCCTTTGTTCATCAAGCTGGTAAGATCACTGTGGTCTAATAAACTGTGGTCTTTTTGTTTCCTTTCCAGCTTTACCAGGAGGTAAAATTAAGGCGTGAGAGCAATATGAATGCCTCTGAGACTAAGGCCATTCATAGCAAGGCACAGACACGACCCATACATTCCCCCTCTTCAGTATGGAGTGACACACCAGGACTGAACTCTTGTTCAGCAGACAAAGAGAGTTTTCTCGGCAAGGCAGAAAAGGAGAGCAAGGATGCGAAAAACAAGGGAAGAAACCATGCTTTTGCAAATGATACTCTGGCCCTTGAGAGTTACAAGGAATCTGAAGATTGCCCAGGCTTGAAAACAACCAAGAATTACACACAGGATCTCAATATTGTGAGTAAACCAGTAATGGGTATTGAAAGTGAAGGTAGCTCAGGCTTCAACCTCTTACATGTCAACACTTTTTTTATAATTGGCTGTTTAATGGATGGACTTGATGTGTTCAGCTCATCTGAGTCTATTCCGAGTCCACTGGAAGGTGACAAGATCAGATCAGCCTGTCCTGAGCTGAGCTGAATATGTGTGAAAACATGCTAACTACAGATCTAAGAAAATGAATGTCACGCTGCCCTCTGTCCCCAAAATATATCTCCTGGGTGCTGAGGATTCCGGAACTTGTCAGTCAAGCCATGCAGACTCTTCTGTTTGCTGGTTTTTGTTTAAAATATTTGAAAGCATAGCCTTTTTGCTGCAGTTTGTGGTCTGGTTTAGACATAACACTGCTTTGCTGTGAACTGTACTTGTAAGTGGGATGTCAACCTCAAAAATAAGTGCCCTCTGCGATTCCTCCTTACCCTTGTGGTACAGTTTCTCCCAGTTATTCCTTTTCTTGGTTTGCCATTACATATCAGTTCAAGTCACAGATTCCTTCATACCTGTGATTTCCAGAAATTACAATGACAATTTACAATTTGTAGGAGGACCTGGGCTGATGACCAAGTCTTGGGGAAAGGGGAAGATACTTTGGAAAGGGAAGGAGGAGGAAGTGAGGCAAGGTTGTGGCCTATTCATAAGGCTAGCTCCTGATTTGGTAAACCATGGTGTGCAGGGTTTTTGCTTTATTTATTTGCCTTTTTACAAAAAGTACTCAAGGTGGCTTGCAGCAGAATAAAACATCAAAATCACAGACATAACTACACAATAATGTAAATAGCAGATAGGAGAAGTTATGGCTCTACCAGGTCTGTATCTTTTGTGTTGTGGCCCTTCTTTAATTACCTCTGAAATGGAAAACATAGGCTATAGCTGTGTTTACAGCTGTTCTAGAAATTTGATAAGAACCTGACCACACTAAAAGATTGTTACTTGCATTTATAGGCTCTTAAAGAACTTGCCAAAGTAAGCGAAGACTTGTGCAGCTACCAAGAGGAAATCCGCAAGAAGTCCAACCACAAAAGGTATCACTACATTAGATGTTCTTACTTGGGCACATTGGAGACACAGGGCCACACACAAGCAACTGGGAAACGTTGAATGTGAGCTGGAGAAATGTTCACAATACTTCAGTCTTTAATCAGGGGTGGAGACTCTGTGGCCCTCCAAATGTTGGACTCCAACTCCCATCAGCCCCTAGCCAGCATGGTCAAGGATGATGGGACCTGTAGTTCAGCCACATCTGGGCAGGGAAGGCACAGGTCCCCCATCATCACTTTAAGTGTCCTTGGAGAGAGAGAGAGAAATTTCTAACCTCTTCTACTTGTAATAAAATTGCTTTACCTTAAATCCAGTTGAAAGCTATGCCCACATCACATATTAGATCTGGTTGTGAAAGAAACAGCAGCCTGAGGCTCCTGTTAAAATCCTCCCCTCATCTGAGGCAGCTGAGCAGTGAAACCACACTTTAATCCTTTCAAGGGATTCACTCTCAAAAGTTCTTCCTCTGACATTAAAAACATTATAAAAAGAATGGCATGCTTTATAGGCTGTCCCCCAGCTTTAGCTGCCTGTGGAGCTCAAAGGTGAAAGACACATTGGTCTTATCTCTTTCGCACTGAGGCAGCGAAAGTTAGTCACACTTGAGTGCCTTGGATAGCTGTGACTAGCCTAACTTCTCATTTGGGCACAGGATTTGATTCACAGGGAAGTAGGAAGTGCTTCTGTAATTCAGCAAGTGTTGTTGCTATCTGATTAAAGTTCCTTTTCTCTCCAAGGAACAGCTTGCCAAAAATATATACGAACATCGCTCAGGTTAGCCAGTTCTTCTGGGGGATGCTGGTGGGCCCCTAGGATAGTTCTCTTAAGGGATCAAAGATGAAATTACAAGAACCTTGGGCAATGATGTGTTTTGTTATGTTGTGCTGCTGATTTGGTACCCTGGCACGTTGAAAAGAAAGAGATTTCAAGATATTTGCTGTGTAGAATGATCACACTCCTCATGGGCTTCATAAAGGTGTGGGCCTATTGATATAGGTAGGTAGGTAGGTAGGTAGGTAAACAAACAAACAAACAAACAAACAAACAAACAAACAGAACATGGACTGAGTCCCCACTTCAAGTCCTACATTGACATTCTGAAACTGTTGCTGGACTGATTTGTGTAATAGAGAGAATAGTTAAATCACTGCTGATTAATATAAAATATTTTTTCTTACATATGTAGAAAGAAGTTGTTTCCTTTCCTGGGAGAATCTGCCGAAACTGAAAACGCACTGATCACACAAGAGACGAACCATGGGCGTAACCATGACCCACAAACAATTTCAATTGCATTTGATACAGAAGAGCAAAACAACAAGAAGAACTTGATGGGCATTAGCAGGTGCTCAAAGGAGATGCCATTGAGCGCTCTTGCTGGAGTTGAGAAAACAGGCTTTTTTCCCTGGCAGAAAAGAGAAGCCCCTCCTGTGCCTCCAAGAAGCACTTCCCGGCACTTGGCCAGCTCTCTCGCACAGGTTTCTGAAGCATTAGCAAAAGAAACAGGGCAGAAAAGCAGTTGCGAGACCCAGGAGGACCAGGAAGAAAGTGCATTGACTCGCCTGCCTTTTGCAAAGCAATGTGATGCTCCAATGCCACTGACAAATGAATGGAAATCTGTTAGTGGGCCTGCTATGGCTACCACAGTACCCACTGAGAAAAGGGATCAGTCCCTTGAATGCAAGCTGCCTGCAGGGTTTTCTCATAACACTTGGTCTCATGATGGAAGTAAGGTTGGGAATAGTCCTAAAAAGGACTCTGCCTCACATTCTGTCCAGAAGAGCTGTTCTGACGGAAATATGGTGCCCCAGAAACAACAGCATCCTATATCGCAAAGCAGTGTGCATTATAGCAGTGACTTATATGCCCCTGTGTGCAACACCCTGGGTGATTCTGGCTATGGAACTGGAAAGACTCAACGAAATGAAACGCTGGAGGCAAAAATTGATGAGTTCAACAGAACCGTGTTTCACACAGATAAAGGCCACAAGTGTGTGGAACGGAACCCCGTGGTGCCAGTGCTGTCTGGAGACCCCAAACCCCGCCCCATAGTTCAGGACGGTGTGGCCAGCAGGGCGCAAAAGGAAGAGCCAGCCTGTGTTCTGAATCCCAGGCTCTCTTCAAGAATGGACGAGAAAGCCTCCAAGCCCAGCAAAAATGCCAAAGCCACAGGGCAGCAGAGGCAGCTCAATGGACTCCTAAGTGGTTACCAGCATATGCTCCATGAACACGACTGGAAGCCAAGCAATTTGTCCGGCCGCCCGCGATCCGCAGACTCCAGATCCAACTATGGGGTTGTCGAGAAGCTTCTGAAGAACTATGAAAAGTCAACCGCTGCATGGAACTCAAAGCTCCACAAAGAGCGCTGGCTGCCGCCCAGTTCGGAATTGGCGGGTGGCAGCTGCGAGAAATTGGGCCACTATTTTGAAATGCTCCAGACAGATCAAGGGAAGCAGGAGCAGCCAAATAATTCAACCCGGCACGTGGGGCTTTATGCCAAGCATGGCAAAGAGAAGCAGAAATTTCCCGAGGTATGTCTTTATAATGAAAGTTGACCCATTTGTCACATTTTGACCCTACTGTTCCTTGAAGAAGCTTGAGGCGGCACATGTTGTCCAATATGGCCTTCCTTGAGTTTCTTAGTCCCTGGGCCTCTTGCACCCACACAACAGTGCTGTGAGGTAGGCTAGCCTGAGGGAGTGACTAGCCCAAGTTGCTTAGTGAGCTTCAGAGATGAGTGGGATGGGTGGGTTGGTTCCTTAACAAATCAAATACAGTATCGGATGCGGCATACACAGCTCTCTTAGTGTTCCATTTGCATTTTGCACCATCTGTTATAGGAGAAATTTTAGACAGAGCTCTCAAGGATGATTTATTACAATTCCCAATCTGACGCTGCCAGAAAGTGCTTCCCAATTGCTGGATGCTCAGTCCATTGTGGAAGAGACTGTGTGAATTAGGAACAATGGTCTGCAGAGTGGGTTTTCCATCTGCTCATTGGAGCCCTGACCCCATAAGACATCACAGGATTAGTGCAAGGATGTGATAATAACTCCTTGATGTAAAAGGATTCAAAAGGCATGAAAAATAATAGAAAATAAATGTACAAGCAAGGTGGATTGGCATTCATCATCTAATCAAATGTCTTTAAATAATACATGTTGAAAGCCAGAAATGATCGCTGGCTGGAGTAAGGTTGAATTGATTGTAAAGTTCCTGTAAAAATAGTCCCCAAATTGGCCTAAGCGGGGAAGAATATACGTTTTGTGCAACCCACAGATTGTTCATTTTCATCCCTGTTGCTGATATTCCATTGATTTTACTGGAACCATGCTAACATTTCATTTTATTATTCATTACTTGTCTTCCTTAAAATATTTATAGGCTGCCCTTCTGAGCAAAACTCCTCCAGGGTCTAAAGATCTTGATGCACATAGAGAGAACAAAGAGGAGAAGCTTGCCATGTTCCTTTAAGAGTCTGCCTTTGTTTTAATAATTCTTCTACTTCCGAGGCAGCAAGAAAATATCTTAGCCATTCATTTTGTAACAGCAGTTAGATAACAAGGTCCTGGTAAAGGAGAAGTAATTTTATTATGCTGTTACCAGTTCCTTGCCATCAATTTCCTTTTGAGCCATGTCATTAGGCTTCTGGGAATACAATACAGAAGCAATTTTGCTGTTTTATCCCAAAAGCCAGGAAATGAAAAGGATTGATAATGGAAGCAACAGCAGACTCAGCGGTGGCTGAGGGTGTCCATGTGTGAAGACAGTGGCATTCTCCTGGGACACTGCTGCACTCATCAGGATGGGGGTGGTGGGAGGCTAGATGGTGAGACTGGGGAGTCTTTGGCACAGTGGTGACACCTCATCCCTGTTTCAGTTAGCACAATGGCTCATGATGGATAACTCAATCAGTACATGGTTTGAGCCCCACATTGGGCACAAGATTCCTGCATTGCAGGGTGATTTTACTAGATGACCGTCTGGACACTTCCAGCTCTACAATTCTATGGTTCTATGAGTGCTATTGCCAATGAGGGGATGCCACTGCTTCTGCCTGCCCCTGCCCCCGCAAGCTGCCACAGAGCAGATATCCACATTGGCCATAGGAAGAAGGCAAAGAGTAGGGCAGAAACTAGACATTACATGCTAAATGGTAGCCTAGCTGTCCTTGTTTAGCCTGGAAAGTTGCTTGAAAGATAGGGTACTTAGGGGTGGAGAAGCAACTGCATCGGGAAAAGATGAAGCATATCCCTCCCTACTCTCCCACTCCAAAAGTCCTTTTCTAAAAACAGTTTTTCAAATTAAAAAAGGGGGAATTGTAAGGAGTGTACTTCTGTGGAAGAGCTGTAGCAGTTGTCAGAAACCACAAGCGGGGAGAATGTTCTTGTGGCTGCAGGTTTTTCACAGGCGTCTGGTTGACCGCTGTTGGCATGATCCTGCAGGTTCTTCTTCCATTCTTATGTTCTCAGAGCAACTGCTTTGCATGGAGAAAGCTCCAGGTTTAACCCCTGGCATCTCCAGGCAGGGCAATTGCCAGTCATGGTAGACGATACTGAGGTAGATGGTCTAATAGTATGAGGCAGCTTCCTATGGTCCTGTCTACTTCAGAGCATTCCTAGACATTCTCACAGCATTGACCATGGCCTCACTGGTGGAGGAAGAGGGGGGAGGGGAGTGCACTGCCCCCAGCACCACGATCCCAGTGGGGTGCCATTACGGTTGCCCTCCCTCCACGCTGGGCGCCACACCCCCAGGGCGCACACCATGCCCCTGCAGGCAGCCTGCCACACCCCTGCAACACATGCCATGCCCCAGGCAGTATGCCATGCCCCGGAACACGCGCCAGCCATGCCCCCACCTGCTCTCTACCCCCGCCACTGAATGGCCTGAAGCCTGAGCCATTACTGTATGATTTCCCAAGAGTCATCTATCAACACCCACCATGATAAATTAGGGAAAGGTGGTGGCAGAGAAACATTTCAGAGAGTCTTCTAGGCTCTGTCATGCTCTGAAAGGTGTCATTGGGAGTGCAATGGTCCCCAGAGGCCCTACTGATTCCAAATGAACACATCAGGTTACTTTCAGATAAGTCACCAGATGTGCTCCAAAGTCATCACAATTAAATTTGTGACTGCAGGATAGGAAGTTGGGTGCTGAGTCTGCCCACCCATAATTCTGTGCCTAGCCACAGCTCAGCTGTCCCTGCAAGACAGTGGCCATTTGGTTGCATCACACAGTCAGTTTCCCATCAACATGCAATAAGCTTTTGAAAACCTGACTGTACGCTGAGAGGTGTGAGTGGCATCAGGGATGGAGCCACCACACAACCAGTTTGCTCCGCAACCTGCTTGACTTCATCCAGCTTTGGCCGTGTGCAGAGAGAGGGTTGTGTGTTTTAGCTCTCATTTAGAGTCTCCCATGCATATTTTGTGTCTTGCTAGCGTGCCACATATTTCTTTGACACATGCAGGAGTTCTTACATCTTTGCAATGCTATGTTATGGTAAACAACACATTCTCTGGACCTTTTAATAGCCAGCGGCCACCTGTTGTAAGGCTAGTCATTCTCTTTAAATTCCATGAATGCTTTTTGAGGGGTTTTGTTCTGACTTTGTTACCCAAGCAGCCACATTTGTATTTGTAGGTGTCTGCGCCAGCTAAGCAGTCAAATGCGAAAGGCTTCTCTCGGCCAGCTCGGCCAGCAAACAGGCGTTTGCCTTCCAGGTGGGCCTCCAGGTCGCCATCAGCCCCACCAGCTGTGAGAAGAGCTGCCTTGAACGAACTTTCTTGAACTTCTGTTGTGGGATCTCAGTGGTTTTGAACTCAAGAATGGATCTGGTGCTGTTATTAAATCTCCATATGGACTCTCTTTTCCACGTTCCTGACCACAACCAGATCTGTGTAATCGTATTTTGGTCAACAGTGACTTTGCCCTTGGACTTGTTGGAGTCACTGTTTCAATTCTTAGACCATCCTTCCACAGTCTTCAGTGTTTTTATCAACTAGATAAGGATGCCCCTTCCTCATATGTATATATGATTTTATAATTCGCAAACATTTTTTTCCTTTGAATGACATATGCTAATAGTTAGCTCCTCAATCTTTTTTTAAAAAAGAAATTACATAATGTATAATCCTGTATATTCTTACTTTCCCCACAAAGAGCAGGAAGAAATGCTGTATGCATGATCATGTGTTTGTAGGTGCATGTGTTGAAATAGGAAGCATAACTGTATTTAGGTGAGAGAAACTCAGTTCCAGTGCTGATATTGAAATTATAACATTTGTTTATATACTTGCATATACACATAAAATGTTTCTGTTTTATTTTGAAAGTTCAGCATATCGCCCAGGCAATAATAATATTTTGTATATCTTTTACAGGTTTCACAGGTCTAGTATTTGATATACAAAAACTAAGAAATGCATTTTGGGGGGTAACTGTAGTGAAAAGGCATTTTATGGTATGTACCAGGAGCAGTTTTGCTCAGTGAATCATGTCTTCATTAATGCTTATTTAAACGTCACTTCTTTAAACTTTACTATGCTAGGCTTATGTTTCAGAATTAAAAACCTAGTGTTTACACCTACATTAGGCCTTTATCAGTGCACAGACATTCCAAAAAATAATGCTTGTGCTTGCCATTTGCTGTAACATCACTCAGTGACTGGACTCTTAATAGATTTGTTCAACCGGCCGTGTGTGTTGAACAGAGGAGAAAGATTGAGACGGATATCCAGACAACAGCTGCACTTACACCATCAAATCCTGACTTTATAAACCACACTATGCTAGAGCTTGGTGCAGCTCCCTCCTACCACTTGCTCCTCCCTTTAGGCAAACAAAGAAACAAGCCAGGAAGCAATTGTTAATGGCTTCTGAACAAGCCATGATTTAAAACTTATGAATCTTGCTTGTTTGGAAGCCATTAACAAGAGTTCCTGGGTCACATATATGTGGGAACTCTGGTTGATACTGCTTCCAGGCTTGTTTCCCTACGTGCATGAAGGCTGTGTACAGGTGCATGGAAGCCAGGCAAATCCTGGCTTTAAAAGCTTTAGGGCAGAACGATACCTTCACTGGCCTCAGGGCTTCTAGTACAACTTAACCCACATGTTGACATGTTGGTTTCCTTGCTGACTGCTGTCAGCGATGCGGAATTGAGATGATGAAACACACACTGATGCTGCTCAGACATGTAGTAAGATGAACTCCATGACATGAAGGAGAACATGCCAGAGTGGCTGGGGCAACAGCATATTATTTTATTATTATTATTATTATTATTATTATTATTATTATTATTATTATTAACATGATGAGTGCTGGTTCTGCACACTTCCACTTCCCCTGAAATACTTGTAATAAAAGTGTAGCTAAGTCATATTTACCATTAATGTTAGGATTTTGGCAAGTGGCAGGGCTTAACCTAAGCTGTGCTTTTGAGCCAATCCCCACTCCCTCCCCCATTATGATTGTCCAGGCTGCAGTCAAAGTCTCAAGTCTAGCAAGATGGAGCTCATCACTTCGTTTTAAATGAAAGCAGAAGAATTATCAACCAATGAAGTACTGGAGGACTTCAGAGAGCCAAGGCAACTGCCACATTCTGCTCCCATGAGCGCTATGAGTGGCTCTCGGTTATGAGGTTAGCTTTCATTCTGGCAGAAGCCTGACATAGAGTACATAAATATTGCATCAAGATAGGATTGCTGTGGTGCCAGAAATCCTAGACTGATGGCATTAGAAGCATGTATTTGCCATCATCTGTCTCTATGTTGTTGGCTGTTAATATGCTATGTGCGTAGCCCAATTTATACACTCTTCCTAAGAGTCTGAATGAAATATAGATCCTCCTGAACTGCCTTGTTAAGTGTCATTTAAAAAATGCTGCTTCATTGTCGTGAATGTTCATCTCTCTGAGAATTTTGCAGGAGAAATGAACAGCAACCCACGTGGAATACTAGGGTGAACGTAATATTTTAAGGAAATAGGTCGGTCCAAAATAGTCACACTATTACTCTTCTCATGAGAAAAGTCAGACACCACCCTGCTTGAAGAAAAAGAAGAAATCAAAATTCTTTGCCACATTAACCCACCAACAGATTAGACCCTAACATTTTATTGGCTTGAAATATTTATCATTGACTGTTCTGGCTAGGACTGGTGGGTATTATAGCTCCAACATTTGAAGGGACACAGGTCCTCCACCACTGATTTGAAAGCTAAAACAATTCTGTTCTCACAATGGCCACCCGGTTGCCGCCAGAAGCCCACAAGCAGGATATGAGTGCAGGAGCAGACCCCTCACTTAGGATTTGCAGTAACATGTTCAGAGGCATACTGCCTCCAGCAGTGGAGATAAAACCTCAATATTGCAACTAGTAGCCTTATCCTCTACAAATCTGTCTAATCCTCTTAAAGCCACGGCATTTCATGACATTGAATTCCATGATATGGAGAAGTCTGTCCTA